AGCAGGGAATGGCACAGGCCACCCGTTCCCAGCCCTCACCGCCACCCTGCAGGACGGGTTTGAAACTGGCCTGCAGAGGCTGACGGACGTTCCCAGTCGGCATGGCAGAGAGCAACGGGGCCGGGATCTGAGACCAGGTCTTGGAGAGTCCAAGGTCCATGCTCTTGACACCTGCCGGAGCTCTCTTTTGTGCCAAATTCTGCCTTGAAGGAGAGGTACTGGTGTTAAGTATCTCCACCCTCCCCTTCCCCCGATTCCCCGAGGGAAGCTGCCCCTCTGCTGACCATATAGCTCAGGTTCTCCCGGCACCTGGCGGACACAGCAGGGGTACAGCCACTACCTACAAGAAACTGAGGCCTGCGCTTCCAGGCAGAGAATGTGTGGGGACCTGCTGGGACAGACTCCCTCCTGGCTCTAGCACCCTCCTTCACAGCCAGAATCCAGGCCCTCCCTGTTGGGCAGGGTGGAGGGCAGGCTTCGTCCAGCAGTCAGGCTAGACTGGGGGCCACTCACTGCTTCCCTGTCCCAAGAGTAACAGGTGCCTGGAGGGCAGCCTTCCCAGCCCACGTAGCCCTCTTCTCAGAGCTGCTCCGGAAACCGTGCTGGTTGGACGGTCAGGGCCTGGCCAGCCCCTCCCCCAAAGGACACTGACTGGACCAGGGTGGGCAGCGGCCCACCCGAGGCGTCAGCCTTCCCTCTTGTGAAGCAGGCCTTCCAGAGCCCTCTGCCCTTCCTGCTCCGAGTGCTGAGCCACGCCACAGCCTCACAGTGATTCCCCCTTTGCCTTAGCTTTCCTGAAATGAGTTATAAAATTTTATTTTATTCCTGGCAAATAAGACAGCCTGGATAAAACCAAGGAGGAAGGAGCGCTTCCCCTTCAAGCCCTTCTCCGCTCCCCAGGCAGAGCTAACCACACCTCCCGACTCTGCTGGTGCCTTCCCCTTCCTCCTCATCGTGACCGTGACCTTTCTGAGCTAAGTGCAGGGTCAGGACTGGTCCACTCAGGGGGCTGGGGGGCGAGGCCGCCACACTGCTGATGAGGTCACAGATCTTCTGAGGTCCCTTGTCTAGGAAGAAGCAGGATCAGGATGTGAACCCAGATCTTCTTCCCCTGACCCCACCCGGTACTTCCCTGGGCTCAAAACCAGCTGTTCCCATGCCCACCTCAGTCTCCGCCCCTTGGCAGTCACCAGGACTGATTTCCCTCTGCTCTGGCATGAAGATGTTCCATAATGAGGGATGGAACAGAATTTGTGATCACAACGGCATGGACCAGGAATCTCCTCGGGAGCCGCCTGTTGTCCTAGACTCTGGCCTTTTGGTGCTCTTCCCTCACCAATCATACCAACTTGATCTTCTGGATTCCTGACACCCTGGCAGTCAGCCTTGCTGATGGGGGAGACACCCCACCTCCCAAGCCAGCGAATTCTCAGCCCAGCACAGGAGGCCCCTCCCGCGTGCTGACCCGCCAACCCAGAGCCCAACCCCGCCAGCTCCTGGGTCAAACCCTCATGGGTCAGTATCCCCCTGCCCCAAATCCACCTGGGCACCAGACACCTGAGGAAAGTCCCCAGGTCCCCAAGTCTCTGGACATTTTTCAAGTTAGCCAGGACATCCACGTCACCCCGCCCTGCCCTGCCTTCCCTGGGACGTCACAACAAAGGCTCTGGGCAGGGCCTTCCCTCGCCATCTGTGCCCTGAGACCGATCCTGGTGCTTCCCCTCGTGGCTCCCCCCCACCCCCCGTGGCCCCTTCTCTTGGGGAACAATCTCCTTTCGAGGGCACCAGCCTCTCTACAATGTCATTATAAAGTGAGGCCCAGGCCTGATCCAGAGAGAACAGCTTCTATCAGGACACTGACCGCTATTAATTAAGACTCTGAAAACCACAAAGCACAGGGACAGGTCCTGCCCTTCCCAGATCGAGGCTTTCAGCATGCCTGGTGTCGCGGCACTGGGCTGGGCCGATCGGGAATTCCTCCAGGATGGTGACTGTGCCCTGTCACTGTGCCTTTGGACTTGAGGGGAGGGTGGTTGGTTACTCCTGGGCAGGGACGTGGCTGGGAGGGGAACAAGGAGATTTTGGGTACTATAATGCTCTTGATCTGCGGGCTGGTCCCGTGTGCCCTCTCTTTGTTAAAATCTCGCATCTAGTGCCACGATTTATACACTTCTCTGTATGTATAAGAGCATTTGTCTCCCATGGCAAGACCCTGGGTCCAATCCCCTGTACCACATTTAAAATAAAGGGGGGTGGAGCCGGGGCTGTAGCTCAGTTGGTAGGGTGCCTGCCTCTCATGCACAAGGCCTGGGTTCAATCCCCAGCACCACCAAAAACAAACAAACAAAAAGTCTCTGGCTTTCAGCCCGAGATGATCAGTTTCTCAGGACAAGGTGGGGGTGGGGGAGGGAGCAGCTCAGATCACCTAGAAATCCCCCACCTGGCTGATCATCCGAGCCACCTGAGGCATTTTTATAAAATGTAGACTCCAGTTTGTAGATATGCTCAGCCACGATTTGCAGGTGGGTAAAGAAGAGGGGGTGAAAGACAGAGATGAGCCCAAGAGGGAGAAACCTGTGTATTTTAGGGCACCCCCAGGTACTTCTGGTGGCCAGCTAGGACTGGGGACAATTCATGAACTCTGCCACTTCATTTCACAGAGACAGAAACCGATGTAGAGAGAGGGCCCGAGACTTGCCTGAGACCACCCACCAGTGATGACGGACTGGGCCAAGACCCTCTTCCTATCACAGCCCTAGAAGAATACGGTGGCCGCGCAGGGAGGGGAAATGACAGGCTTTCACGGAAAGAAGATCAAGGAGCAGGACGCCCACAGTGAGAAAGTGTCACCTTGGCTCAGAGCAGACCCAGCTCTGGAACCAGCTACTCAGCTCTCCTGGGCATGACGGAGCCGGCTGGGTCGAGTCGACCCTGGCTCTGCAGAGAGCCCAGCTCCAGGCAAATCTGATGGCTGGTGTGTGCGCGCAGTGTGCTCGGCTCGTCAGGCGGAATCGAGATGATAAAAGCCTTTGATTTTCCCCAGTGCCCTATTTATTCTTCCTGCCTCGTACCCTTCTTTGACACGCAGGGGTGACACAGCACATTGGAGGGGGCTCTAGCAAAGAGGGGACTCGGCCAGGAGTCGAGGCACGAAGGAGAGAGTACCCTGTGGCACATGGGTGAGGAGCAGGGTGCCATTGTCAGCCTGACCCGGTTTAAATTCTGGGCCTCACATAACCTCTCAAAAGGGGTAACAGCAAGTACGTGGCAAACCCTGGTCACTGTGCAAACAAGTGACTGCTCCGAGTGCTTCAACTGGCGAATTCACTTCATCCCCACTACCGCCAGGAGACAGAACTACTATTAGCCCATCTTACAGATGGGGAAAACTGTGGCTGCATTCAGTGTTATTTATTGTGAAGATTATCTGAGAAAAATGCATGTGAGAACCAGCAGGTACCTGGGCAGAGCATAAAGCTCAATAAACATTAGTTGTCGCGATCTAGAAGTAATAATATTCTAGTTCTGCTTCTGAACTTGCTACGGGATCTTCAGTATGTCACTTCTCATCTCTCGGCCTCAGTTTCCCAGTCCATAAAAGGAGGGGGTCTAAGTTCTTCACTGGCTCTAGGGTATTATCAGTCTCCGATTGGTCCAGGAAAAAAATAAATAAAACCTAAAATCCAAGATGCTGTACTCTAAGGTATTGAGAAATGTGGATACTTGACATTAGAAACCCCTTAATTTTAAAAAGGCTCATTCCCTTTGACTTAATAATTGTACCTATGTGGACATAAGAAAATAATGAGAAAACCTGAAATGAAACCACCATTTGACCCAGCTATCCCACGCCTCAGTTTATACCCCCCAAATTTAAAATCAACATACTACAGTGACACAGCCATATCAAGGTTTATAGCAGCTCAGTTCACAATAGTTAAACTATGGAACCAACCTAGATGCCCTTCAACAGATGGATGGGTAAAGAAAATGTGGTACATATACACAATGGAATATTACTCAGCCATAAAGAAGAAATTATGGCTTCTGCAGGTAAATGGAAGGAACTAGAGAATGTCATGCTAAGTGAAATAAGCCAATCCCCAAAAACCAAAAGCTGAATGTTTTCTCTGATAAGCAGATGCTGATCCATAGTGGGGTGGGGGGGATAAGGAAGAAGGAAGGAACTTTGGTTTGTGTAGAAGGGAGTGAGGGGAAGGTTGGGGCTTTGGGGGATGGGAAGGATGGTAGAAGGAGAGAGACATTATTATTACACTATATAAATGTATGATTATACTACTGGAGTGAATCTGCACCATGTATAGCCAGAGGAATGCGAAGTTGTGCTCCATTTGTGTATAATATGTCAAAATGCATTCTGCTGTCATGTATAACTAATTAGAATTTTAAAAAATAAGAAAAAAATCAGAGATGGACTCAAAGATTTACATTCTGTAATGTTCGCCGTTTGCAGTCACCCCAGATTAGAAATGACCTGCATATCCGACAATGGGGGTGTGTTCTACAACAGCTCAACAGATTACTGGGCAATCATTCAAAAAGCACCCGTTGGCTCACTCTCATGGCTATGGGGAAATATTCTACAAGTTAGATTAAGTGAAACAACCAAGATCCAAAACCTCATGTACAACATGGCCCTGCAACTATAATACCAGAAAAAAGACACGAAGGAGATAAATCATGAACACCGATTGCCTGCAACTCCTGGAATATGTGATTCTTTAAAGCATCGAATCTTCTAAGTAGGAATGCACTGCCTTCCCCTCTGCTTCTAAGCTGTGTCTCGACCTCCCTATTTTTATGGGTTTTAATGAGCATTTCCTTTCTCTTGGTTCCTGTTGCCCTGCATATGTGGGGGCCTTCTGTTTCTGCCTGCCACAGGCACGTGCACCCTGGATACATCTGCCAGTCAAAGCCGCGCTGTGTTGTTTTCTGGTTTGAAAAATGCAAAATTCCCAAACCAAGAGAAAAGTCCTTGCCTTGTAGGAGAAGGAAGCCTCGCCCCCGGAGGCGGCGCTGCTGGTGGGCGGGAGCTGCTGCAGCTGCAGTCCTGCGCTCTGGGCTCCGTCCATGGCGCTCTAGTGGCTCATCCTCAGGGCCCGGCCTGGAGCTGGAGTGCGGCTACGCCATCTTCCCCAAGATGCTCACCTCCTCCCGGCAGCCATCTCCTCCTCGGCCAAAAAGCACTCGAGGCTCTTCTGGCTGATCTATAGCTTTCTCTTCGGCTTCCCGGAGTGGAGAGCCAATCTCTGTCTCTCCCAAGCAGACAAGGAGGGTGCGTTTCCAATTCTTGCTGTGCTCTAGGGTGGTGGAGAGGGACATTAAAAATGCATGCAGAGCGAAACACAGTCCCGGCCTTGCCGTCCCTGAGAGCAGCGTCAGGACCACACTGGCCAGGAGAGGCAGGGCCATCTGAGACACTGTATCATACCTTTGGTCCCCTGCAGACTGACATTGCTCATCCACCCCAAAAGTTTTCTCCTGGGTCATTGGGCAATTCTTCCCTCTCCTACTCTTCTTGCTTCCTCCTATCATACCCTAAATTTAAACCCTCCTTTATTCCATAGGCTCTTAAGGACAGAAGTAGGATCCCCGGTGTCGATCATCCCTGTTAACTCCATTGGACTGGTATTGTCAGCACTTCTCAAACTTTTCTACCAAACAGAAAAGAAAGAGAAAATATGCTAGTGTTCTGAGGACTGCGGCCGAAACCCTACCACAGTGCAGGGAAATAAAAAAAAAACATAAAACCCAACATGTGCACAAGAAAAACTCCAAACAAACAAAACTCATTTGAATTTGGATATTTAACATAAAAATATTTTAAATTGCCTTTGATCTGCCGTGTTTTACCTTGGCAGGGTGATTTAACTTTTTAGGCAGCTTCCTGAGCTATAACAGATGGATACTAATGTTCCTAACCCATGGGTTAGGATTTATTATTGTGAGGATTTGTTGCAATAAGGCATGTAAAACGCATGCCCAGTAAATGGTTAATCAATGTCAGCTGCTACTAGTTTTAATTTTATTCGCACCAGTTTGATCATTTAATTTACTCATGCATATTCCTCCTCTTCTCTCCCGTGACCATCCATGAGACAGTTATTAAGGGCTCACTGTGTGTTAAACAGACACCGTCTCTGCCAGGCTTTAGAAAACTGCCTATCTCATAGCTTCTAGTTCCTTCTGCCAGCCCACCCTATGTCCAGGAATTCTGGTTCCTATTGTGAACAGCACATGCCTAAGAAATAGGGAGACTACCAAGTCCAGCACCCAGGAGACACCAGATGTAGCCTTCATGCCATGGCAGCCATGAGGGCCATCTGGCCTGAGTCTCACTTTGTCAAAGGGCCTCCGAATTGAACTGCTGCTGGTGCCTCCAGTTGAGGCAGAATTCACAGACATGCATTCCCCAGGTAATGCCATAACTCACATCCCATAACCAGACTTGCAAAATTATGGGGAAAGCATAATTATTCTTCCCTAGACTTTTATGTGTGTATGAAAGGCACTGTTGTGTTATAGTTCTATATCTTTGCCTTGGCATTTTTTAATATAACGTGAGTCTTAGGAAGAGTGGTGCAGGGATCTTTCTGCCCTTGAGAGGCCCTGGGAAGCATCCAATCTGGACTTGAAGGGGCACTGGATCTGGGATTCCAGGAAGGCTTGCGGAAACCTCTGTTTAGCTGCTCCCTCCTGAGATCTAGTCCAGTGTCTGGGAATGACTCGTACACACACCTGCTAAGCAGCTGCTGTGCTGTGGTCACTTCAAAGTCAAGAATGGCTGACCCACCCTAATCAGCCACAGCTCCAGAGCACAAAAACAGACATGCCCAGCCCCACCCACAGGATGTCAGAGAAAGCACACAGGCCTTGGGGACCTGTGAAGGGGGTGGCAGGCATCCAGGCCTCCTAACCTCCTTTAGGCCAGCTGGTTTTCTAGTATTGCTTTTGATTGTAGTGGTTTTAACTGGCTTTTAAAAAGCAGCTTCCCGTTCCCTCTGCCTCAGAAAACCCCTGGCCTCTGAGGCATCTCCTGCAAAGACAGAAGGGTCTCCTAAGCTGGGTAAGCGTCTTGCTCAGCTGGGAAGGCGTTTGGGCTGAAAGTCTCTGCGGAACTCTTTGCAAGCTGTACTCCCTTATAAGGCACCCATTCTTTGCCTGGTGGCTCTCTTCCTGATTTCAAAGTACTTTTCCAGGATTAACATATGTCCAAGAGGCAAGCAGCCAAAGCTGTGTTGCCAGGCACCCCACAGTTAGAGCACACGGTCATTGACCCAAGAAATACAGAACTTGCTAGGTGCTTGCTTCCACTTCACACACACACACACACACACACACACACACACACACACACACACCCGCTCTGATCTCAATGAATTATTTCAGCAGTCTCAAGAGCACGTTCTTAGGAGGGAAGAACCCTGGCTTGTGCCCGCTAAGGTAGGGTTGTATTCGAATTTGGCTCTAAATGAAAACGTAAATAAAACATGCTCTTTCCCACCACCTGACGATTCAGCTTCTGGCTGGCGAATGTCAATTACGTGCCAAGCTTTCCCTTTCCTGGGCTTTGGCTCATGAAAGGGTTCCACGCTTCAGTCCCCTCCCACGGACCTGGATACTACTCCACACCTGGGTTCCAGCAGCCGGCGGCAGCGAAGACTGAGAATGCCTCCCCTCATCCCACCTGCTAACTCCGACTGCTATTTCTAGGATGCATGCAGAAGAGTCACGGTGGCAAAGTTACTGCGTTTCGCTTCCTGGAAGCCCAGCATCACCGTCACTAAGGCAAGCCCGTGCCCACTCTCCTCTCACCTTCGATGCAGAAATGGGAAGGGAAAGGAAAAAAAAAAAAAAAGAAGAAGAAGAAGAAATCCGGAGGCAACAGGACCCAAACCGTCAAGGCAGGCGGCCAAGGAGGGAGGGTATTTATGATAAGGGACATTAGCTGATGACAAATGCGTTGCTTTTCCGGAAAAAAATGAAGGCAGAATTCAAGTTCCCTTTCTTCCCAGTCTTAATCATGACTCACCGGCGGCGTTCGCTCGAAGGTCCACCTGGCCGAGGGTTCTGAGAAATGACTTGGGCTCCTGGTACAACCCGGAGGCACAGCCTCCTTAATTCCTTCCCAACTCGGAGCTGCCGGGTGCTGCAGTGTTTTGCTTTCAAATATCGCAATCTGATTTGTCTGGCATCCTGTCAGTCAGAAGCTGGCGGGGACTTGGCGCAGGCGAGTGGTTGTGCGGAGGGGATGGGCGGGACATCCTCCGGCCATTGGCTGCGGCGCTAAGCTTGCTTGAAGCGTAGGAGAGAGACCTGGGGACCCAGCTGGGCGCTCACCTGGTGGGGTCCCCTCTAGTGGACGGAGGAAGAACGTTGGAGCAACCTCCCTCCCCGTCCTCTGGCAGGGCAGGAGAGCTCAGGAGATTGCTCACCTCCACCTGCCCGACAGGTGTCCTCCCTTCTAATTCTCACGCCCACCTCCGGGCTTTGCTAGTCCCGCATTCCACGTCCCCAAATCCTAAACGTCCTTCAAGACCTAGCTCCCCTCCAAGTCCTCGAGTGTACTGGGAGCCAGACGTACCTCTCCTGTCCTGCCCTCCGGTGCCACCTGTTGTCTGGGCTCCACACCGTGCTTCCCAGCACATCTGCAGCCTGGCCATACCGAAGGGGGCGGCCGCGAGCCTTCCGCCCGACTGCCGCTTCCCCCGTGTCCAGCTGCACTAGTGCCATCCGAGTGGAGCTTTGCAGATGTCAAAACGCTCTCCATCACACACGCATTTTCACGCGCACGCCTTTTGGTTCAGCTCCTCACAGCAACTCTGGGAGGGACACTGAACGCACGCCCATTTTACAGACGAAGAAGTGACATTTGGGAGAGACCTCAGCGAGGAGAAAGAACAGTTCTGGGTTCAGATCCCGGAGCAGGGAGAGCTCCGAGAGCATACCCGAGAGGGCGGGGAGAGCGGTACGGCAGGAGCCACCCCAAGGCGGCGGGGCTGGTGCTAGGAGCTGAGATGCGAGTAACGCTCCAAGGACAGCTTCTAATCTGCTCCGATTTCATCCTAAATTTAAAGAGCACCGCCGAATAAGCAGGGAAGTGACAAGGTCACCGTGACCATTCTGAAGCAGGGGGGCTCTCGGACTCCTAAATGGCCGCCCCCGTCTAGTTCCCCGGACCCACACGCTGTGGTTTGCTATCGTCATAAACAGGGCTTAGAAGGAGGTGAATTCTCTTAGGTTTATTCCTGGAGGTGGGAGCTTTGAGTGAGCAAAATTCTAAGGCTTTTGGTCTATCCCAAGATTTCTGAAGACTCGTCTGGATGAAACTGAATTAGGTGCCCCCACAGCCCTTGCGAATAATTAACCCGAACCCTCAAATTCTGGCCGCTTCCCGGCGGATTTTGAAACGCTTCTAACGATTGGTCAATGACTTTCCACGGCCAAGAAACGGGAGACGCCATTGGCTGGAGGTAGCGGGCGGACTCGGAATGTTAGTCCTGTGGTTGCCGTAGCGACCGGGAGGCTGGGCGGTCCAGATTCAGTACCCCTGACCTACAGGTAGGAGGCGGTTCCAGTTAGGGGCCGGTCCCTGAGGTCCTGAGGAGGAGAACGGCGCAGCCCATGGGACGCCCCCGGAGATCCGCAGCCCCCGGGTGCGTACGGAATCCCAGTGCCCCTTCCCGGAGGTGTGCCCTCAGTGTCCCCGCCTTCTCCTCCCAGCTCCTGGGAGCGGCGTGGACTTGCTTCAGCCTTTGCAAGTGCACAAACGTTTGGGGGGTCCGGTGCCGGGTGGTGGGAGAGCCGCAGGTTGCTGAGCGCTAACCCCCGGTCCACCCACACCATCGGCTGCCCCTCAGCAAATGCCTTTCCTGTTTGGGGACTTGATTTACCCGTAGGTAAGACGGAAGGGTGACACTGCAGTCTAATGGTCACTAGGCAGCCGCTAGAGTGCCTTCCAGCCCTCTGACACACTTTCTCAGTCTAAAAAACATACCTAAGGGGGTTATTAATCTGAGAGTGCTTTGAAAAATGTAAAAATGCTTCCAAGATGTTTGATAGCATATCACTAAATGGTTAAAATCAACTGTAGTCAAAACTACTTAGGCAAATTCCATAAAATTCCACATAAAGTAACAGTCTAGCTGGCTTAGTATATGTACTAATATATCTTGATATACCAATGTACATCCCTATCTATATACATATGGTATATCGATATGCCAATATATACTTAGTTCATATTGATATACCCTCTACAGTAATATGTGTAAAGGTATCATATATAAGACTATAGTATAAATGCATAAATTATGATAATACTGTAGCTATAATAACATATAATGACATTTTGTAAAAAGAGATGGTAGAATGAGAGCACGCCTATTGTTATAATTATGGGAGTTAAATATAGAATCTAGTTCTGGGAAGATCATAAACAAATCAATGAATGATATACAAAATAAGATTGGGTAGTGAAAAGTGCTTTCAAAGAAATAAAGTAGAGTAAGGGTCTGGAGACAGATGGGCTGGTGCTTCTTAAGAAAGGGTGGTCAGGGAAGACATTGCTAAGAAGGTTTGAGCAGAAGCCTAGACCATTTTAATGACAGGAATGTTGTCCATAGAGCGAGAACAGATAGTCTCCATGCCACAAGGGAGATATTACAGAAGCCAAGACGTCCCTGGGGGAAGAGGGTTAGTCTTTAGTCTTCACAACTGCTTTCAAATTCTTGAAGTCTAGTCATATAGAGTATCTCACTGTGACTCACAGTAAGAAAGGCACTTACTTTACATTATAACCCAGAGCACACACAAACACACAAAAGTTTCACAAACATGATCAATCTAAATTTTGAAAAATCACCAATGAAGAAGAGAAATAATATTTATTCTGAATGGTTCCAAGGTTAGAAGTCAGGTGGGTTAAAGAGATAGGGGGGGGTGCGGTGGGGAGGGAATTCACTTTGATACAGGAAAGAACTTTCTAGCAATTAGAACTGCCCAACAGTGATGCCTCATTGGATTTTCAAACTGCATTCTGAAGAACCTTAGCATTCTGTGAAAATTCAAAACAGTTTCAAATATTTGCTTTGTATTTTGGAACTGTATGCAACATCCAGCTTTTCTCGTGGTGACTCAAGTGCAGTAAATGTCAAACTTTGCATGTTAACATTTAATATTGTGCCACCTTAGACGTTTCCCTGGAGGTCAATTGTGAGCAGAGGTCAGGCTTCATGGGTTGGAAGCCTGATTCCACCTTACTCCTCGTATGACCTTGGACAAGTCACCAAAAGCTTCCCTCTAAGCTTCAGCCCTCTTGTGTGTAAAACAGTGGTGACACCTCACTCGATTTCTGTAAGGACTGCGTGAAGTCTCTGTACAGGGGGCCCTAAGTGCTCCATAAATGATAGCTATGATTTGAAGCTGTTATTACAAAGTCTCTGTTTATATTAAATCCTAACGTTATTCGAGCCTCCTGAGGTCAGGCTGCATTAACTGCTTCAGTGAATCATCGTGCTAATCCTCACAAGTGTCCTGAGAGGAATGTGCTCTCATCCTTTCCAGTTTAGGAAGGAAGAAATGAGCCCAGAAAACTAGACCTATTAAGTGGCAGGACTAGAACCCTGAACGCAGGACCGGATACCCTTGACTGCTGCACCTGGGAATTGCTTAAATCTATGAGTTGGTCAGGAGGAAGGTATATATCTTCTCTGCTCTTTCTCAGATTCTAGGCCCGTGACAACCTGTCATGAACAGTTGTACCAACAAGTACCCCAGTGAGGCACCCCTGAGCAGTGCTCCGTTCACACCTGGGCTGCACCAACTCCCCTCTCGACTTCCCAGGTAGGTTGGGGAGGGCTGGGAGGTAGCAGTGCTGTGGTTGGGTGGCAGGGATAGCGATTGTTTTGAACGTTTCCATAATTTCTAACAATTTTGCAACATTTTGATAATTTGGATGCATTATAATAAGAGAATAATTTTTAAAAAATAGTTTTTAGTTGTAGGTGGACACAATGCCTTTATTTTTATTTATTTATTTTTATGTAGTGCTGAGGATCAAACCCAGTGCTTCACCCACGTTACTCAAACACTCTACCACTGAGCCACAACCCTAGCCCCAATATGAGAATAATTTTAATCACCCATAATTCTAGAATACTGATGCATTTTTTTTAGTAACAGTTTTATTGAAGTTAGGGAAGAGGATGGTTTTTATTGAAACAATCAGCACTGAAGGGTTTGTGAATGGGGTTGTTTTTCTAGACCGTTAAAGATATTGTTACGGTGGAGTGGCGATTGTGCTGTGATCATTATTGATTTTTTTTCTTATTTTGAATCTCTTAATTTCTTGGAGGGTAATACCAAGTAATTCAATTAAATATTAAATTTTTAGTATAGATTACCAACCAAAGAAGGTTGAGAAATGTGGCTGAGGGTGACAGAATAAAGTAAGGAACAGATACCTGGGGGAGGGGTCTAGTTTAGCATAAAATTATTTATTTAATCCTTCTTTCATTAGTATTTACAAATAGTATAAGTTCGGGGCTGGGGAGTGGGCAAGATTAAACCCAAGTCCACTCATGAAAAAGTGAACCCTGGAAATTAGACTGTCCGTGCTGATGACAACTAAAAAGTAGACCCATGTGTCAACTCTTTTTAGATGTCAGAGAACAGGCAGTGCCACACAGCAATTCCTGAGGCTAGAAAAGCAAAATGAGCCCTACAGTCGTCCCCACTAAGACTGTAGACAGTTTCCAGGCCACATGATTAGGGTGGAGGGAGTGATACAAAGAAATTCTGGATTTCTGAGTTGAGGGGTGCTACAGTTTGGATCTTGAATGTACCCCAAAGGCCCATGTGTTGAAGGCTTTGTTCCCAGACCTGTGCTATCGGAAGGTAGCAGAGCCTCCAGGAGCAGTGGCCTAATGGAAGGAAGTTGGTCGCTGGGGGCGTGCCCTTAATGAGGATGTGGGGCCTCTGGTCCCTTCCTGTTTCCCTTTGCTTTCCATCTGCTATGAGTGAATAGGCCTCCTCGGCCATGTGTTCCACCATGGCGTTCGGTGCTGCCACAGGTCCAGAGTGACAGGGCCAAGCAGCTACAGATTGAAACCTCTGAAACTGCAACTCCCAATAAGCTTTTCCCCCTTTTATGTTGATTGTCCCAGGTATTTTGTCACAGTGACAGAAAGCTGACTAACAGAAGGAGTTAGATATCAGAGTTTCAGGGAGGCTAAAGAATCCAGAATTTACAAGCTGAATACCAGAGGTGGGGAGCTGCAGACAAAAACTTCATAAATCTAAAGAGGGGTCTCCCCAAGTCTTCGGCTGAGTAATACTCTGCTCATGCATGAAAAGAAACTAAGACTGGGGCGAAGAGCAGCAGGCTGAGCACTTCTGGGGCTACTCAGAGTGGTTTCATGTTCCCATGAACCAGAATGGAGAGGCATTGGATTAGAGAGGGGCTGGGAGAGTCACAGTAGCACATGCCCTAGTAGTTCCCAGGATAAAAGGTGCTCTGCACCTTTCAGAGTTTGAAATCCTGGAAGGATCATCTACAAGTTACTGAGAAGTACGCCAGAGGCGGGGGAGTACAACATTCTTTTCAAGAATACATCACAGTGCATCACTCAGCAATGCAATTCACAATATCTAGTCCCCACACAAAATCGCCATGAGGAGACATGGAGAAATATAACCCACGTGCTGGGGAATAACCTATCAATAAAACAGTCCCAGAAATGACAGAGATTCTAGATCTAGCAGAAAAGGACCTTAAAGCAACTATTATAAATCTCACAAATATGCTCAAGGACGTAAAGGAAAACGGGAACACGACGAGGCTAGGAATGGAAGAGGCTTTTTTTTTAACTTAAAAAATTGTTTTTAAAACAAAATAAAAGTTCAGGTGATAGCATATGCAGAAGCTTAGACACTATGGAAGGTCAGAGAGAGAGAGAGAGAGAGAGAGAGAGAGAGAGAGAGAGAGAACCTGAAGACATAGTGATATAGGAAAGGAGAGAGAAAGCAGAAAAAAAAGTGGCTGAAAAATAAAATAAAAGATTAAAAAAGTAAAAATAAAAATG